CAGGGATATATTTTGATTAAATTCTGCTGAGGGGCCTATTTTACCACCTTGTTACCTATGTGGTGGTTTGATTCTGTACAACAGAAATCGTGCTTTTTCCTTGCTGAACAAACATTGGGGTGCTTCTGAAACCATGCTTCTTATCCTCACCTCTGCAGGGGCGATGTAAGGTTAGCGATACATTAATTTGTGTAAAAAAACCCAAACATATCTGTGATCTGTGAATGGATTGTATTTTGAAAATCATAGGAACGTCTGTGTATCAAAAGATATTTTAAACATGCCCCAATTCCTTTAGAGAAGAGAAAACTATAGAGCAAGCAGTTAGATCAGTTAGGTTGGGGTGGGCCCGAGTTCAGTGAGGCCAAAGTTGGGCACCGTGACCGTTACCCAAGGTGTAGGTGTGAAGCCGAACAGGCACTGGGCTCTAGCTACTTCCTGAAAAGCTGGTGGCATATCTCACCGAGTCCTACCACAAAAGGAGTCAGCCTTGGTGTTTCGTGAACAAACAGTTGTTTGCCTGCTAAAAGCACTCACGTGCTATCTTCAGCATTCCAGTACCCACAGGATAGAAGACTCATTGTTCTCATAACCATTTTCTCTTCCCTGGTAACACATGCACCTCCATCATTTGCAATGCTGTAGGAACCAGGAACGTGTGTGTTTAGGGCTCTGGTAAATACAGAGCCAGACTATTTGTAGTCTATTGCAGCTTTGTGTTTGTTCTAGTTTCTCTGTCTCAGTGACACTTTCTCTTCTTTTTCCTTCTTCATAACTGGTTTTTACCTCACTGTATCTTTCAAAATGTAAATAGTAAATTAGTCTAGCTCACACAAATGTGTTCCTCTAAATACTATCATTTAGGCATATTCATATAGTTTTGGGTTTAAATAAGAATCATTATCTAAAAAGTAAATTAATGATAAATATATAAAATGTTTACTGTTTAGGGTGTCTTAGGAGTTGTATTTCATTTAGAGTGGCAGTGATTCATGGCTTCTCTTCAATTCCACTCTCTCTACACATGCCTTTGGGGTGGCTTGCATTGCCCACAACACTGTGTCATTTTTTTCCCCTTCGATTTTTATGACTGACATCTTACTTTTGGCATGTTTCCTTCTGCTGGGCTATAAAAAAAAAAAAAAGAAAGGAACGTGCAGATGTGGGAAAAAGAGTAGCCTGGAAATACCAGAAACTACTAATAATAGTAATAAAAGAACAGAAAGCAGGTTTACCTTTACTAGTACATTAAGAAAAAAATCGGTAGTAGCCATGTTGGCATTGAGCAGAAAATGAAAGTATATGTAATGCCATCTTTCAGTTAAAGGATGATCAGTTACAGATATTATCCAGGAATCAACAAGTTGGTTTCAGACAGTCGTAGGCAGGTACTATATCAGTTGTTGTTTTCTCTCATAAATTCAGTAGAGATGCATAAGTAACCATTTATTTAAAAAAAAGTGGATACTTCAGTTGACTTTTTATCATTGTACTGCAAGAAGCAGTAAAATGAAGGCTCAAGAATTTAAAATCCATAAAAATGAACATTTTTTACACAGTGAACAATTAAACTATATTTTTATATTCACAACCTGGGTAGGGCTAGATATGTACATGCGCACACACACCACACACCCCCAGAAATGTCTGTTAATAACTTATGAAAGATGAGAGGGAGTTTTTTGTTTATTTGCTGTGGTTTTTGTTGTGTTTTGTTTTTTTTTTTTGTTTTTTTTTTTAACCAGTGAGGAAAAATTCATGTTTTCAGGTTTATGGCAGTCCTAAAGGTCTGCAGAAATGGAATAAATACTGGTGGGGGGCAAGTAGGGAATTTTCCCTGGTTGGGATCTGGGTTTTGTTCTTTACAGTGTCTTGTGCATCTCTGTAAAGCATCCAGTAACAGGCGCTGGCTGTGAAAGCAAGGGGACTAGTCTCCCTGCTTAGGGAAGCTCCTCAGCTCCAGTATGTTTAGTTGTGCACTAGTATGTGACTGCAGCATCCTTACAATGAAAAAAAAAAAACAAAACCAAACTGAATTGCAAAAATACGAAGTTCTTACTGGAAACCTTGGTGAAAATGTCCAAGGATGTAAACTCCTTGACTCAGTGTTCCCCTTCTTAATGAGGATGTATTGCTACTACTGTCATCAATAAGAAAAGATAAAGTTGTTTTTCACCTGGGTTAAGATGCTTCTTCATGGGTGGATTTTCATGGTAATAGTGAGAAACTTCCAATGTTGCCAGTGAAATTTCAGACTAAATTATTACAGTCTTTGACAGGGGCAATTAAACTATGAAGTGACCATAAGCCAATTCTATTTCTTTTGGGGACATTAGAAAAAAAATACTCAGTTTTCCAAAGTGGTGGTGTTCTGAATTTACTTGGTAGCTAAAGAGTGCTCCATTTAGTTTCTCTTCTCTTTCCTCTTTTTAGTAGCAACTGAAAATACTACATGAAAGCCACTATAAGTGTTCTCTCTAAAATTTAAAAAAACCCAGGAAGTTATTGCTAAAATTAATTTTTGAGGGGGACTTTTATGTTAGGACAAAATACCAAAATAAAGACTATTTATACAGAAAGAAACGTACTCTGGCAATGACTCGGCGTTTCCCATGCAATTGTTTAAGGCATGTATTGGACAAAGAACCTTCTCTTGGTGACCCTGACTGAACTGGACAGTATGTGACCAGGTGCCTAAAACTGCACGACTGTGTGTGCAGGGCAAAGTGCAGCGAGGCCGAGCAGACAAGTTGCTTTCTGCTACATGTAACATTAGAGTGTGTCGCTCCAAACCTTAGGTTGTTCCCTTGGATTTTCTTAGGAATGGCCTTTGTATGTTAAAAGTAGCCTTCCAGTCTGAGTAATGGGCTTAGCTTTATATAGGACAGACTCTAACCAGCATTTAAGCTGAGGCTTTTTTTTCCAGGTAAATACAGTTTAGGGCACTAACTTAATGTAGTGCAGCTTGTACTGTATGTGTGTATAGCCACCTTTGTGCTGGCTTTTGACACAGCTGTATCAGGAAGCTGCAGCAGCTGGAAATCAGCACTGGCCGCAAAGCCTCCCCGAGCCATGGGCGCCCACTGATCCCTGTGGTCTGTGGCCATGCAGAGCCGTGGCCCTTCTCAGCGACTGCACTGCCCGCTTCTGGAGGTCGGCCTGTGGCCATGGCTTCCTTGCAGATGCTCTAGTCACCTTAAAACCATCCCCAAGGGGATACCGCTCGTCGGAGGCTCCGCAAGCAGCGAACTGGGTGCCTGCTGCCCACGGAGGTGGGAGCCGTAGCCCCCGGCACGCCTCCGCCAAGGCAGCCCTCAGCCTGTGACCCAGCCTGGCCGAGAGCTACGCTTTCCCGGGGCTGCTGCGGCCTGCCGCGCTCTGCCAGATTTACCGCTGTGCCCCGTCTTCTGGGGAAGCAGCCCATCAAACCTGTTTCCTGGCTGAAAAACAAGAAAGCTTTTTCTCTGCTGATCAGCATGGCTTTCCCTTTGCCACCTTTTGCAGGATGATGCTTCCCTTGGTTTTGTTCCTTCTCAGCCCAAGATAGGCACCACAGTGGCTCTTACTAATGCACAAGTTTTTAGTGATTTTTAAGTACCTTTGTATTGTATGCAAGCCATTGCTCTAACTCCATTTTAGCACTTGCTAATTTGGCAACAATGGTAGTCTCCAGAATGCCAATTAGTGAACAAAAGAAGGTTGCACTGTGTGACCCAGCAACCAGACTTCCCTTAAACTTGTTTGTCCCCACCACGTTATTTTCAGTTACATATCAGTCTGCAGGTAGTGGAAGTATAAACTGCTTTATGTAGATACTACTGATGAGTCTGTATTTTGTGCTAATTCTTAGCTTTTTTCCTTTTAAGAATTCACTGATCAGACACTTTTAGTTCAGAAATACCTGCACTCTAGGATTGCTGAATCCTAGCACATAGTGCTAACGTATCTGTCTTTTTCTGTGATCCTTGAATCTCTTCAGGCATGACAGTATATCGACACCTATGTGAAGAACTTCCAATCTTGTATTCTCCTGTTGCTTGTTGTTAGGATCGCTTAAAAGTTGAAAACAAAAGCATTTGTGTTCTCAAAGACAGAAGGCATATTGCAAGGCAAAGTCTGTACATCACATTTACTATTCTGCTGTATAAAAAATAAGTAGATGCTACAAAGGCTTTTAAATTAAGCTGTGAATTTCTTCATTGATTAGTATGCATGTATTCGTTGAACTTTATTCTTTACCTATTCTACTATCGTTGTATTAATACTAATTAACAGTAATGCTGCCACAATATAAAGTATTTCTAAAGTCAGATAGTCAAGTATTCAAAGAAATGAAAGGTTTGGAAGACTTGGGGGGTATTTGCTCTTTTTTATATGAAGTGCTTGCTTATGCCGAAAAACAAGGAAAAAGGCAGCAACACCAGTTCTTAAGCTGTGCTTTGGAAATACTTGTTTCTTGAAAAAAACTGCTGTGTATGTTGATAACATAGCACCAATTTCGGCTTGAAGAAAAACGTTGGATAAAACTGAGAGAGAAGTAATAATACCTTCTCACAAGATAAATGTGTTTGAAAATACCAACCATTCATACAACCTGACCCATTCTAAAAACTGAAACTGTTGTTGTGTAGCAGTGTTTGTTTTAATGAGTCTAAGGATAATGTTCTCCCTGAGACTGTTAGCAGTGTCCAGTTGGATATTGCTGTCAAAGGGTAAAGAAGCAACTCCATCCTTGTCATTGGTACAGACTTTAAACTGATGCAAAGCAAACCAGTTATTGCCCATTACTGTTCTCAGGTCCGTAAATTATGTGCCATTGCCTCCAAGTCTGAATGGAGATATCTACTGAACTAGGTTTAACTTGATGTTATTTTTAGAACAGATTACATTGATTGCATACTATTTCAAAGGCCCCAAGTAATAAAGTACACAAACATATCCGACTAGTTTAATTTCTCTTGTGTGGTTTTATGTATAAAACCTTAAATATTTGTTTTCAGACTCTTCTGGCAAAGATTTTGGTCCTACTCTGGGATTGAAGAAATCCAGTTCCCTTGAGAGTCTTCAGACTGCTGTGGCCGAAGTTAGGAAGAACGAACTCCCTTTTCACAGACCCAGGCCTCACGTGGTCCGTGGTCGAGGGTGTAATGAGAGTTTCCGAGCTGCCATTGACAAGTCGTATGATGGACCTGAAGATGGAGAAGAGGGTATGTTGCTAATGGCACTTACTGAGGCAGCCACCTTCACTTAGCACTGCTGAGGGCCAACTCAATAAAGCACATAAGCAAGTGATTTAGTCCAACTGAAGTTGATCACATTTTAAAAGCTGCACATGTCTTCCACTGAATAGAACTGTCTTTGCAGTACCCCATCCAACCTGGACTGGGTTTAGTGTAAAGTCTTTCACTGATCTCCTTTGGGGCAGGGGTGGGTTGGAGGATTTAGAACTCAATCCTTAAATAATTGTATTTTTCAATTTCAAGAAGCAGCTGCCTTCTTCAGATTACATTAAAAATTATTTTGCTTGTTTTATAGAGCTGTCTACAATTCCCCCTTCTCCAACCAGAAAATTTATTTCCTGTTATAGACAAGGCAGAGTGTATTGATAGCACCCTGCTGCTCATTCTGTCACCGTGGGCTTTATAGACCTCCAGTCTGGAAATATGTCTCCTTTAGTATGAAGCATAAAACTGCTTGGATGCTGAGCCCCCCAAATAGAAACAACACAGCTCTTCTCCAACCAGACAGAACAGTTTAGCTATTTCTTTTTTAGCTGTTAAAATAGAAAGATTCCAGGGAATGAATAAAATTGTTTCGTTACGTAGGTTGGTTATGTCAGTTGCCAGCATCTCTTGCTGAAGTAAGGTCTCAGTGTTTGCATCCCAGCATGTCAGTTTTCTCTAGCTGATGGAGGTTAACAAAGTAGATTTCAAATAGAATGGTGTTTTGCCATGTCGAGGTTTTTGTATCGGGAATAATAACACAAAAACAAGTCATTGAAATAACTCTGTATTTAATTTACAATAGAAATCTGCTTGAATTCACTGGATATGTTTAGTCTGCTTCTTAAATTATTCAATTAAATGAGTAAGTGTTGTGAGTCATTTGAGCACTTTGTAGATACTCAGGCTGTATTTCATGTGTTTGCATTTTGGTGGCCCCTAGCCATCCTCACTCCTTTTTTTTCATTCTGGGCAGATGGTTTGTCTGATAAGAGCTCTCACTCTGGTCAAGAAGCTCAGAACATGGAATCTGTCCCTCCAGGGAACCCTGAAATAGAAGATGCAGAAGCCAAAGCAAAAAAAGACAAAAAAAATAAAGAGAAGAAAAAGGAAAAGGGCAAATCTAAAATCAAAGAGAAGAAAAGGAAGGAAGAAAATGAAGATCCAGAAAAGAAAAAGAAGAAAGGCTTTGGTGTCATGTTGAGGTACGGCATTTAAAAAAGTAAAACAGACTCCCATTCTCATTATAATACAGGAAACAACTGATGCTCTCATAAAGTAGTGGAAAAATTATTTCACTTGGACGCAAAATAATGTTTATGTTATTTAAAAAGAAAGCAGTTTATACTTTTACACCAAACTTATAGCTGAGGCAGAAGACATTTGGCAGACAAAATGTCTTTTTGTGCCTTTGAAATTCATTCCCATATGTCAGAAAAGATTCAAGGTTTCAGGCTAAAAACAAGCGTGTGTCGGTGGGGGAGGCTTTGTGGTGAATATTTCTGAGTAATACATGACCTACTCCCACGCCCAGACCTTCGCCTTCTCTTCCCTTGCTTATCTGCTTCCTTCACGAGCTTTGGGGAGAGCAGGATTGCTCGTGTTACTGTAAACAGTCCAGTAACATTTGCAGTTGCTGAATACCACTAGCTGTGATAAAATCTTTGCTTTACAGCTTCAGCCATTGCCTGCAGTGGTCAAAAGCTCACCATCCTCCCTGTCCAGCATGCAAGTGTTTGGATTTCTTCTGTGGCTTGGTTGGTTTCTGGAATCATCGGAGATTAGACAAAGTTCTTCAGGCCATTCCCCTGCTATTGCTGGAGCCTTTGGTGCTGCAGGCATTCTGGTTGCTATCAACCGTGCCTCTGGTACCTGTTTACTGAGGATTAAAGTGTTTCCATTTAAGTAGATCTTTGCAATTAATGTAGGGTGTGTGAATGAAATGTAGTTATCGCCTGGCGGAGACTAGACTGTATGACCATGTGGTTACTTGTGGCACTGCTTAATGTTAGCTTTAGGAGGCTATTGGTGTTTCTTAGCATACTGTATTGTAAACAAGCCAGATACATATAAAAGCCAAAATCATTGTTTAGGCAAAAATGCATTTGACTAGTAATCTAAGAAGTTCAGCTGCAAAATCATTCATTTAGTGATATTCATTAGGACGGTGATATATGAACTCTCAGGTTTCTGTTGATATGTCGCCTGGAGTCAAATGGCTTATGTTATATTGACATGGAAGGTTTTAGCTGGCTTTCTTCCATGTATCATCAGTAGGAGTCCTCAAAATTGTCCTATCAACTTTTGAACCTGTAGAGATATTATCAAAAATATACAGGGTTGCTTATGTGCCAAATTTGCATGATTTCAGCAGTTTAGTGTTTGTGAGATGAAGGTGCGTGGGTATACCAGTCTGCATTCAGATGAGGCTCTTCAGGAATGCTGAGGAGGCACATACATCTGTGCATTGCACCTGCATTTGTGTTCATACTGTTTAAAGAAATAGGGTTTAACATGGAACAGCAGTCAAAACACTGAATAGTTAGGGGGGTGACTTCAACAACTCTCTTGTGTATCTTAAGCTTTATGTCTATTTTCATTCTTCTTTTTAACTCTTTGGTGTCAATAGGGCTGTTGGAAGAGGAGGGGAGTGACACAGAGGTCTGACAAAATCATAAGTGTTCTGTTTCATGTGTCACTGGCAGACTGAAAGTTTGAAGAGCAAAGTCTTACGGGGGTGTGATGCCTGAGCCAGAAAGAATATGGGATGACATCCGAAGCCAAAACAAGTTTGGGTTGTAGTTGACAAAAAATCTGATAATGATCAATATGCAATGCTGGGAACAATAGGTTACCATTCTTAGTGATTCCCTTTTCAGAATCTATTTCACATTTTGATTGTACATGAGCTTTATACATCTGTTCTTTTCATAAGCTTGCTTTTCATTTAGATTGATAGTCTTACCAGCAGACAGTAATTGTTAATAATATTTATTTATCTGTATGGCAGCACAGAATGGGAATTTCTATCCCACACCATTGAAAACCTTTACAAAGCCACAAAGATGGAAGCAATAGGTTATAATGAACGGTGAAGGAGTCGTTTGTAAGAGCTAACAGTTCAGCTGGGAGGTTTTTAGAGGTTCTGTGTCCTTGTCAAGTGTTTCTTCCTACAATTTATAAAATTGTTCTTGAAAAGAAATTCCTTCCTGAGAGGGTGAGCATCCTAGGGAATCCCAGCCATTATAAAAGTGAAAGAAGGGTGATGACCTGTAAAGATGGAACAAGAGCAAACAGTGCGAGTTTACAAAAAAAGAATTGGGGACCATATGTCCTGCTCAAAATGAGCAAAACCAAGGCTGGTGTTTTTGCAGGGAGAAACTGCTGTGGATGACCTGAAAAACAGAAACAATTAATCTGAATGTTTTTAAAAGAAGCAATAGTAAACTAATGGGGGAACTTAGAAGGGGTCAAATACTGACTAAATACTGGATTCAAGAGGTATTTTTCAAACTGGAGTTTTGCACTGATGTGGAAAGTGAGGAGTCAGTGTCAGGAGGGCTAGGGAGGAGGAGACTGTGGGAAGAAGGTTTGAATGATCAAATATTTTAGCAGCACGGATGGAATGAAACAGCCAGATTTTTTATGACATTGTGGAGATGAGACTGGCATGTTTTATTCGTAGAACATCTGTGGAGGGAAAGGGAGAAGCTGAAGATGACAAAGTTGTGAGCTTCTGCAGCAGGCAAGGTGACTACTAATTCTTGGTAGCTTGGTAGCTAAGAGAAGGAAGTAGAGAGAAGTATTTAGAAGCAGAGATGACTTCAGTTTTTGACATGCTGAGTTAAAATTGGAAGGGGAACCTGCCATAGGAGGCATTAGAAATGTAAACACCGTAAAGGAGCAGAAAGCTGGATGGAGAATGAAGTCTGTAGTGTGCCTTTCATAGATATGGTAGTAGTTGTACTGTGATCCTCTATGTGGGAGACCACCAAAATGAGGAACAAGGAACAGAGCCCCTGCGAGCCTGACAGGAGAGAAAGACCAAAGAGAAAAGAAGTTAAGAAAGCAACTGGCAGGAGTGGGAAGACTATGTATCTGCCTGGGACCAGGCGGTGCCGTGGGTTTTTTCAAGTAGTCTGGTGACTGCAGCCATGTAACTAATTGATCCTACCGAGAGCTGGAACCCCACACTGATGCATTCATACTGTTTGTAATTTGTGCTGCCTTGTTCAGAGCTATTTCAGCTATCTGCATAGTTCTGCTATGCTGTGTAGATGCATCCAAACAGGAAAACAGACTTGCTGAACCCATGTCAAGATTGGGTTGAGATAAGTAGGAGAGGATCATCTGTGGTGAAAGCTCCAGGACCAGAAGGACAGTGAAAATACTTCTGAGAGCTTGCAAGAAAGCTCAGTGCTAGTGAAGAAACATGCACTTTCTGGCAAATGACGAGGGTCAGGTGTAAAGGACAAAAGAAAGTAGAATTTGAGGCTAGAGCAGCTGCTGGAAGTGTCATGCTTGTCCATGGTAGGGTTTTTGTGCTATACTTGCTGGGTCATATATACAGCTATAACAAGTGTTATCTTGGTAGTATGTCCATGTGAATTGACTTGTTTCTGCCTTATAATCAATAACAAAGCATTTCAAGATGTTAAAACCAAACCCAAGTATTTCTCTGTAGTACAAGAAGCATTGAGCTTTAGTCTTTTGCATCTGAGATTTTTGAACATATTGGAATTGCTACTGCAGTGGATTTTTTTTACTCTTTTTTTTTTTAATTTAACAACAGAAAATAGCAAAGCTGTTAGCAGTTGCTAACAGATTTCACTTACTGCCTCATCTGTTGCTCAGCTGCTATTTACTTGTAGTTCCTGGTCTTTTTTTACACATACAAAAAAAAAGAATGATTGCTTTCCTGCTAAGCTTTTCCTGGATTGAAGCTTTATTTAGGTGACTGTGATTCAGGAAGACCATCAAGAAATCATGCTTTTATTTTTGTAATTGTTGTTTTAAAAAAGGTCCTGTTGTTTTACCCAGTATTAACTGGAACTCTTGGCTGCAGCATTTTAATGACTGTGGCACTTGGATCAGAGTATGTTAATATACTGGAGATTTGAAATGCAGATGACACTGGTTATTACTGATTAGTTAAGTCTCTACAATCCAAAGTGCTATTTTACTGTGGTGCATTCTGCACAGTGTTTGTGTTTTCTTGTTTGGTTGGTTCTGATGCATATATTGCCAGCCTGAGTGCATATGTGCTGTCCAAAGAACAACAGAAGTTGACTCTGTTAACTGTTGGTAATATCGGCTAAGCAAGCATTATATTTTAATTTTTGATGTTTTCTGGCACATTGCACCATCATAGCTCACTAAACACACTGCTAGACAACAGACGGCAAAGTAAATTGATATGTATATCAGGAAAACAATTACATTAAATACTCTCATTATTGGAACTGTGAATAAATATATATTGCAGTCTCAGGAAAAAGACAGTGTCTAGTATCTATGCTGAAACTCTTTCAGAACAGAAATAATACTCAGTTCTATGCAGATACATAGCTGCGGCAAGATTATGCAATACCACATTCAAGTCTTGGTTCATCCCTTTTCTTACACTGAGCTGACTGATCCTTTCAGTCTTGAGGAGACTGCTGTACCTCAAATGAGCTTCCCTGTACTTCTTTTTGAAGGTGTTTTGTATTTTCATGGGCAACGCTATAGTGAAAAAAGCGTATTTGTGCCTTTGAATAAAGGCAGTGTGTAGTGTCATTGGTTTAGAACTGTCAAAAGCCTTGTGAGGCGGCTCTGTAGGCTGTTTGGAAGGGTTAATTAACCCCTTGGTGCAGGGTGTTAGAAATCCCTGATGCTGAGCACTAATGCAAAATGCATTATCACTTAGCATTGGAAATACAAAACTGATCTAACCAAGAGGTTAATAAAAGAAAAATTATTCCTCCGTTTGCTAGGTGATGAACTCTAGATTTTAAATACATGATCTATAGTTACTTAATTGCCATGCTTCAAAATACTGTCGAAATACTCTTTTCTAACAAAGGTAGGCTTTATATTCGTTTCTAAATTAAGTTGGAGAAAGGCTGGACCCTTAAATCACCAGGGAAATGTGACCTCTGCTGTGCAGTGCTGCTCTGTATCCTAATCCCATAGCATTTGTTACAGTCCTGGTGTATAATAAACATAATTCTATGGTGCTATCACTACCTTTTCCAGATAGTGATCGTAAAAATTCTGGGCAGCCCTTTCAGCTTTATGTGTATGAAGGCAAGTTAGCTAATGGACTGCAGCCACGCCAATGGCATTTTAATAGGTAGCTCCCCTAGGCAGAGACCAGTAGGCTGAAGTCATAATTTCTTTGTGGTATAAAAATCTAAGAGCAAGTATGTGATTGGTGACTCAGAGTAAAGAGTTTTGCTGAACTGGAGTGCAGTGGAAGAACACCCTCTCATTCAGTCTTTATTTCTAGGCTGGATTCAGGAAAAAAAGACAACGAACCTTCTTCAGATAAGGCAACTCTTGTCAACTTAAGTTCACTAGTTTACTAGCAAATATTTTCAAAATTAGTATAGGTGAGAAAATGTCTCAAAAATATTGCACACCAACCATGACTTGCACATTTGTGCATGTATACATGGAACTGCAAGTGCAGGAAGCAGGAATATATATCTGCATGTTAGTTACATTTGCTTTTTCCTCTTCAGAAATAGTGCACTTTCCCACATAACAGTTCATCTTAAATTATTTACCTTCCATTTCACAATGTGAGCCATGAATATTTTATTTTTTGTCCCCTTAATTTGCCAATTTTCCTTTGAGCTAAGTGCCTTAGTGATTTTAATTTTTC